CACATGCATCATGGAAAAAAAAACAAATCTGATTGCACTATCACATTTGGCTGAGTTTGAGACCCACTGGCGGGAGTGGGGACTAGATTGATATCAATCTGTATAAAAATTCATTGAGATGTCATTCTAGATTTGCCAGGCAATAAAACAATATGAACATTCACGTTTGCTTGATGTCGATAATCTTCATGAATATGGTATGTTTCGTAACACTAAAAAAAAAAAATTACCATTACAATATACAAAACCATTACTAGAATTTTTGAATTAAATGGATGTCTTCACTCTCTCCCACTGAATGAATCTGTTCAATGTAAGCAGACAATTTACTTGGATACACAAGGATAAAGACCCATTAACACTAATCCTCAGTTGATGTATTCCCCAACACTGGTCTTTGTCCATATTATAATCTACTTTTATACCTCATCACATATAGGATCTGACTGTGCCCTGCTGTGCCACCTGCCTCCTTCATATTTCGGTGCATGCCAATTACAGCTCGGACATCTGCGCCCGACGCCCCAAACAAAGACCTGGGGGGCAGTGAGTCAGGGAGGGATAAAGATGTGCTGATGGAGGAGTTTAAAGTCATGGCTCACGGCAGCTGTCCTCCCCTAAGACACGCCTAAACATGAATATATCCAAAACAACTGCACACAGCTGATCATACTATGAGCGATTTAATGTTATGGGGATGCGTCATGTCTAAAAGGCACTTAAAGGGCCCATATCACACTATTTTCTGATCTATTATAATGTTTCCTAATCACAAACGTACCTGGAGTTGTGTTTTGTTTCTCTCACAAATGTTTAACACACAAACCCATATTTAGGCTGAGTTCTTCTCTCAAAGAGAAAATACTGTGTTCTACCCTGTGATGTCATGTGATAATACAGGATGTGCTCCAGTGTCTTTCTAAACTCCATACACCTTCACTAGAATCATTTGGATAATTTCAGCTCTAGGGTTGCCAGTCTCTATTAAACTAAAGATAAAATGTACTTGTTAACTGGAAAACTACCACTACATGACATCATGACGTAGAACAGAGCATTGTGAGCTTTGGAGATGACAGATTAATAAAGTGTTACTCAAACATGTATGAATGAAATACAACTCCAGCTATGTTTTTGATTAGGTAACATTAGAATTATAGCATGGCTAAATTTTGCATAATAAAAGACCTTTAAGCTACAAGAAGAATATTCTAAAAGTAACAATGTGGGTCATTGCTCAAAGGTTTGGTTGCTGTAGCTTTATAATGCAAATTAGTTTAAAACACATACCATGTTTACCATAAAGACATTTAAGTAAAGTATTCACGCACACTCATTTACCTCCTTATGTACTCTACAGTATCTCATAAGGGAGAACATATTTTCATGCCTGTTGCTGAACTGTCAGCACCTTTACATTTTTCATCTAACAAGCACTGGTCGTCATAAAGCCCTACAGTTTTTGATCGAACACAAATTTCCTGCATATTTTCTCAGCCATTATGGACTCCTAAACATCTCTTAAATACTAAGAAATTTCTGCCCTACATATCAGCTAATTGCAAATCATTATTCCCAAAGAACTTATGACTGTCTTTGGTACTGTGGGAACAAAATGTTTTCAAACTCAATAGCTTCTTTGACCATTTTATTTGCTATTTAACCAGTGAAAAAGGAATACTTTAGTTACAGAATACTGAATACCTGCATTAGACCAATCAAAGTACTGTATTCTGAATACATGCAATACTTGTACACAGTTGTGTTATATTACAGTGTAAAAATGTGGCATATATTACAGACAACTTTACCTTTGTTGCTATACATTATAATTTATGTCTAATTAGTGATGAATCACATGTAGGCATTGCAAGAGTCGAATTTTCTTTTTTTCTCACTGATATGCAGTTTGAAGCCAAAATTGCAACATGAAGTACCACCAACTGAATACAGTTACTCAAAAGTTAGTATTGAGTACATATTTTCAGTGCACTGGTAGTATATTCTGTGCTTCTCTATCTAATTGGTCTGCTTAAAGGTTACATTACCTTGTGATGTCATATAGTGGTAGTTTTCAAGTTAACACCTCCTTTTATCTTTTGTTTTAGTAGATAGTGGCAATTCCAGAGTCATCCAAGTAATTTTATGAAGGTGTATGAAGTTCAGAAACACAGTGGAAGACTTACTATATTACCACGACATCACAAGGTAGAACAGAGTGTTTTCGGTTTGAGAGAAGAAACAAAATACAACTCCAGGTCTGTTTTTGATGAAGAAACGACATTATAACAAGTCAGAAAATAGTGTAATATGGCCCCTTTAAATACTCAGTCCACATTGCATTGATCTCATTCGAGTGCTATCTGCTGACACTTGGACATTTTGGGCGGCACAAAGAGGCGTGAAAGCCAGAGGTAATCACATTTGAATTACACTAGACTACAGCATGCGTTTCTTTGTGCTTTTTGATAGTGAACATGCAACTCTCACGCACTATTTTTTCTACCGGTGCAAGTTCTTCATCTGATTTGAAAAAGAAACAAAACTTTTGAGTAAAAAACAGCTTTGGAAACATTTGGTGGCTGTATATTTAGAATCTAAAATCATACTGCGCTCAAATTAGCTTACTTCAGTCACACTTCAGTTTTGCAGCCCTTTTACCTGCCCTACCTGAACACCTGCAAACTTTCATCATTTCAAGTTTGAATTTATTTTTTGAAGAAAGGACGAAAAGTCAGATCTGTGCGGCCCCAAATAGCAGCTGTTTTAACTGCAATCTGTGACAACGTTGCAAGACGCAGCAAGCCTCCAATCTGTGCGTTTTCCTGTAATAATAGACTGAACATAGAACATGCTTAGAGACAGCAGCACTGTGAAAAGAGATGGGTGAAAAGAAACAAATGTTCTTTTTAAAGATGCACTGTGTAACTTTCCTGGAGGATCTGTCAAATGCTTTTCTCCACCAAAATGTTATTGCTTAGTCTTGAAAGTTTCACAGTATGATATTAAACCTTTCTATTACCATGGAGACCAAACCAGACCAAGTTACAGGTCAGATCTGTGGAGAGGCAACCCCATTTACAGTCACAATGTCTAGGTATTTTAAAATATATAAAATTTAATTCAATAAATCTAACATAGAACTGTTTATTGATCTAGTGTGGAACATTCCACACAGAGCTGTAACATATCCATCGAAACACACGGGTGATGGACCCCAAACCAAAAAGTTACATAGTGGACCTTTAATTGTTAAAGTGCCTTTTATACCATACACTAGGGGTGTAATGATATCCAAGTCTCACGATATGATATCGTCACGGTATGAACCTCACGGTATGATATTTATTGGAATATTTTCTGGAGGCTAACAAAACTATTAATATGCTACTTTTTCTTCTTAAAGTGCCGTGACAAGACTTAATCCAAAGAACTAAGACTTATAAGTGCTTAGAACTGTTATTTCTTCTTATAGTCCACACTGAAATGGAGCAAAGGATCATGGTCTATGCAGTTCTCTCTGTCTTTTTTTATCTATTGCTGCACCATAACTCTTAAGTTAAGCAAAGAGACTTTGACGATACGATGTCATGATATTTCGGTTATTGTTACATCCCTACTATGTACTATGGGCTATAAATACAAATTTAAGTTTAGATTAATTCTTTACCAATAATGAGAAACATATTTACCAATACATTAACAACTGCGAGCAAAGGTCGGTGCCTTGGTAGGTGGCCCATGCTCTCCAAATAGAGTTGCCACGATACTAAAATTTCAAACTTAAATTCGTTACAAAGAAAAAGGCTTGATGCTAGTGCCAAGATCAGAACCATTCTAAAACTAACTCAAAATTTGTCCTTTTCCTGCTTTGTTTTTAAGTATAGTCATGAAGCCCTGAACCTAAAATAGGACAAACTTAAAAGCATTTTATTTTAACATAGGGGTGGGTAAGGGTTGTATACTTGGCATTTTAAACTTTTTATTGTACTATAATGAGCTGCTGATAACCTGGAGATGTCATATCAAATAGTATCTGGGTATACATTTTACAGTACAACAATCTGCAAGTGTATTTAGGTTTTAGTTTATTGTTTATTTTGCACTTTTGCTTACGTCTGTACCTCTGAACACAAATTCATTTTTTATGTCCACAGCCTTGACAGCACATTTCCTTGGCAATTTTCAGTCTGACTCACCTCAGGCCTATTTTTGTCTTCTAACCACATCTTTAAGTGCCACTCCAATTGCTTCTCCTTTGCGTCCCACATTCACAGTCCTTTTGACAATCACGTCTCTGCCTCTGCACTGTTGTCGTCATGTGTTTGTTTTGCCATTGTCTTGCTCGTGTCCTGAACATAAAGGGTTAACAGCGCCCCATAGATGAAGCCCCTTACACTTCAAAAGCCCTGTCTTGGGGTTACTATGGTTACCTCTGGGGCGTGTGTCCCAATGGCCCGCTGTCACCGTCCCATTTGATGCACAGTAAGAGCAGCCATTACAACCTCCACAAAAGGATGACAGAGGAGAAAAATGACCTAGGAAGATGCTTTTGTTCGCAACCACTGACCGGTGCAAGGAACATGATAGAGGAAATTGGGAAACGTGATCCCAACTTCTTAAATCTGGGGCTCTGAGGCTTTGATGTCAGTGCAAAGTTACAGCAAAGAAAATCTGCTGAGATGAAAAGGATCTAAGGGTGACCTGAAATGAGCAAACTAATGTGCAATTTCAGATATTTGCCTTTTCAGAACTATTTCATCACTTATTAAATTATGGTAAATGGTCACACTTTTATATAGCGCTTTTCCACAATCAAGGCACTCAAAGCATTTCATCAAGGAACAACGCACCCATTCACTCAAACATTCATATGCAGACACTAGGGATGCGGAGGGCTAGTGTCTTGCCCAAGAACACAACACTCTACCAACTGAGCTACTATTGCATTTATGTAATTATTATTTGAATGCTCTGTGTCTGGATTCGAGGATGCTTACCTTACTCATGTGAAACTCCAGTCGTCTCATGTACCGCTCTATGCTTTTGATTTGCTGCAAAAAAGAGAAGGATACATTTTAGGGGTGGGGGAGTCCCATATGTCTTTTTGTCATCTTAACACTGGAATGAATTAATATTAGATTTGTCCACATTGTCAGACATGAGACAGCATACTCCATCATCTCACCTTGTCCAAATCATACAGCACTCCCTGGAGGGAACAGACAGAAGAGGACAGTTAGTCTAGGGACACAGCTGTGGCTTGTATTATGTAAAACAGATTGAAAAAAAGTCTGGCTTGACAAATTGTCAAACACACTGCCTCCAGAATAATAATGAGAATTCTATGGTCCGCGGGAGTGGGTGAGTGAATAGAAGATACATTTGCAAAACTACTGTCTGTGAATGTTTGTGTGACTCACCAGACGAGAATTCCTCTTCATGTCCTTCATCAGTAACATGAGCTTGTCCAGTTCTGTTTGATGGACTTCTAGGTATTCACTACAGAGAAAAAACAGCATAGTTTTACAGCTATCTTCATCACAACTCTCAAACTGAAGCAAAACCTCTGCAGCAATATGTACACCAGTGAGGTACCGTATATATTCATATGGCAATTTGGGCAATATACAGTTCAGTCTAAGATACTTTTAATCAGAAAATGTGAAAGTGAATGGTTGTCTTCATTCTCAGCTGTTTCTCAGTCCATTTTAGGATTTATTTAAATTTACATAATCATACCTAAAGTAGACATATTATGCAAAATCACCTTTTGTAAGATTAAAATGATGTAACAATGGTGCTCATCTTCCCTCATCATTAGCTGACTCAAAGTTGTATTTTGACTGATTCATGAGGAAGCCTGAATAGTCCTAAATTTGAAACTTGAGGGCACAGAAAATTACTCAAAAATTTGCCTATGTTCATTTTGAAACAGTTCAGAAAGACTTTCAATGCACCAGTTTGAATTGTATTAGCTTCACTCACTCTAGGCCTTGACGTAGAGCAGTGTAGACCTCCTCCAGTCTTTTGGGCTGTGGCTCTCGGGACCCACTTCCTCCTTTGTGTCCAGACAGGTGAGGCTTCTTGGGCTTGGACTGGGGCTTCTTCTGCACAGCTGAATTCCCCATGAACGAGTTACACCTAGCAAACACACAACACATAAATAAACATAAAAATACATACACATTTTTGTTTTCATCAGTCACAGGCATAGACTTGCTGCTAATGGTCGCACTAAAGATTCCTGATTTTTTTGCATGTCCTTGGGCTAACCTCTGCAACAACTCCCATCATGCAAGACCACTTTAACCTACATATTATTCAAACACCTTCAACTAAAGTGTTTCTGAATGCTGGTCACACTTACAAGAGCTGATTAATCAATGTCAGCGTGATGTGTTAAATCCCAGGTATGTACAAACAGCAAAGTGAACAAACGCATGCAAACCTGATCTGCTTGCCCCCATCCATCCTGCTTGTGTGCTAGCTGTGATTTATCACAAGTTGAAAGTAAAAGAGCAGCAGCACACACAGGTAAAAACCCATTGAGGCAGTCACAGTTCACCGTCATTGGAGAATTTTTCATTCCTTCACTTTGCCCTGAAGCTGATAGAGCATCTATAACCCACATATGAGGCAGGTCTGACTGGAAGAGGCAACATAATGAACCATGAGAACGCATTGAGCCTTTTGTATTTAACATGAGGGTTAAAGATATTCTGGTGAGTAACTTTGGTTTGGCTTTGGTTAAACATAAAAATCGGTGGACATGAATTCACTCAGACAGATTATAGCCAAGGCCAAGTAACTATGGCTGCACAATGTATCACAATCTAAATTTGAGTTGGGAAAATTATCAAACCGTGAAGGTTGCAGTTACTTAGATAACAGAAAGTACAGAGTGAAATATGTGTTTTTATAGGAAAAGTCTTCTTGTACCTATGGTTTTGACCTCTACAAACATTAATTTACAGAATTTACAATGTGCACTTTGAAAAGATTCCTAACTTTTAAACATCTAAAACAATATCTGTCAGAAAAAATTGCACTAAATTGCACTCAAATTTCCGTAACACAATGTGAAGAATGAGCTTTAAATATCCTTTGTCAAACTACCCGTCTTATTTTGGGTCATGTCTGTATTTGAGGCCATTTCAGTCTGAGCAGAAGAATGACATTTGCACAGAATTAATGAAACAATCCTAGAATCATATCGGGGACACAGCTCTACAAGTTGGATCGTGCCCTGCCTCGCCTCATGCCAGCGAACACGACTTAACCTAAGCTGCCACAAATGTAGGGCACAACTCAATGAGAGCGCGGCGTCGCCCTGAGGGTCATGTGATCTGTGTGCACACATGCATGCAGACTTGGTTTTAATTGTAAGTCTACTTCCTATATTTACAAACCAAAATCTGAAAAGCTGGGAAACTGCCTAGGTAATTCGAGTTATGAATTACAAGATATCATAAAAACCTACAATGAGGTCAAACTATAGAAAAAAATGGAAACTGGATAGTGTAATATAATTTGTAAGAAAAAAAAAAAGGTTGATTGAGGAATGCATGACAGTAAAAGGGTTTCCAGGGAGAACAGACTGAACAGAATTTGATAATAAAACGATGCTTGACGCTATTAAATTGCATGAAAACATCCAGAACATTACTCGACAACTGCCTACTAATTCGAAAAAACTGGATTTGCACCACCTGGGATCTTGTGAAATAAAAATAAAAAAATGTTTTAGGAATGTTTTAGAAATAGTCCAAAATGAGTCTGTTTCAATTGATATCGCTGTATCTGTTTTTCTAGTGCAATGTTTTTACATGGTTTAGGCACAGTAAAGACAGTGACACTTTGCAGCTGATGTCTTCAACATTCCCTGTACTCTGTTAAAAAATCTAATTAGACTTAATCTACACAAGTCTCTCACGTAAAATTACAGTCACAAGCTAGCAAGCATTAGACAGAACTTATCATTCAGGACCATGAATGCTTGTATTGATTTAGACAGACTATACTTAGACTACATTAAAACATTTTTGGCAGTTTTTTGCTAATGTGTGCATTGCGTCACCATGGTAACTGTCCTACATGTACGTCTATCTTTAATGTTGAACACCCTCAATTGTGCAGTACTGTATATTTTCAAAACTAAAGTCTACCACTCTTGGATAGCCCTCAAAAGCCCATAGCTTTCCTCCTCTCTCATTATCAGAACAGTAAGTTGTCATCCGCTGACGGTCGCCCACACACCCGCCTCATTCCAACCAATTACCCAATCGTCAGCCTGAGCCGTGAGGAGAGCGGCTTCAAATAAGTGTTGAGCCCGCCACAGCGATGACACCCGGCCACTAACAAAGCCTGTTTATTGAGATGGAGATTTCAGCTTTGTCTTGTGATGCTGCAGTGAGAGGCTTCAGTGATGAGTCAGAACAGGAAATCCCTTATCTGTCTTGAGGTGGTATCAATTGCAACCATCTTTCCTTCAACCATGACACAGTCTATCTAAACTGCTGCATAATAGCTGAACTTCATTATCATCTGTGCCATTTATGTTTCACAGTCCTGCTCTAATTTAGCACATCCTCCTTGTTACTAATTTTGATTAAAGATGCAATGTGTAACTTTTGGAGGGTTCGTATCTGATTGTCTTTAACAAGATGCTTTACCATTTGCCTGTAATGCTCCACAGTATGACATTAAACTTATCTATCTCTGGAGACAATTAGGTGACACCACTGGGCCATGCTATGGGTGAGATCTGTGGAGAATGGATCCCACTAATCTTTTTCAAGGTTTTTCTGAGCAGTAAAATATCTGTAATTGAATAAATACATGATGGATAAGGATAATGCCATAACATAGAACATTCTGGACAAAGCAATACAATCTCATGGAGACAAGCAGACCCTTCATCAGAAAAGTTACACCTTGCAGCTGCACCTTCAAGTTAATACTGGAGTTAGGGATGGGTGATGTAGAAAAAATAATATCACAATTTCCATAAAATCAGATCACAAATTTGATTTCATACCAATTAATATATGCTTTGTAAGTTTTCTGCTCCTTTTAAGTGGTAAATAAACCCATCTGCTTCTTCTGAAAGTTAGTACATTGATGTGATTGGTTAAATCCAGCTGTCAATCATTCAAAGCCTCACATAAGCTGGCCAGTAAGAGGAGTGGGTGTGAAAAAGTGTCTGTGCTTGATTAGACAGTTGCATTAAATAGAAAAATAGTGAATCACAACATGACGATAAGACCAAAACAGCAGATAGTCACAGGGATGAAAACACAGATCTTAGCATGATATTGCCAAGCCCTAACTAAAGAAGAGAGCTTCCTTTATAATTGCAGTGTTTTTGTTTACATGACTGAAATCAAGGCAGCTGCTGAGCTATACTCTTTCTAGTACCGTTTATAACAGTCTATTAAGGATGTGTCACATGCTTTGACCAATCAGAAGTAAACCATCGAGGGAAAGGCTGGGTATTTTGATCACTCAATTACACATACAGCCAACTGTAAAGACAACATTGGTACTAGCAGTAGACTTGTTTTATACTCCACAAGTCTGCATAGCCAAATGATCATGTAACTATCCTATGCAAATCAAATGTAATGACTGTTTTGCCAATGCAACTGCTTCCAACTAAACCAGTAACTTGAGGGTTGACATGTTAAGACAGAGGTGTTTTTTGTTTACATGAATGAACTCAAGGCTGCTGCTGAGCTATACATTTTCAAGTACCCTCTATAACAGTCTAAGGCTGTATGTTTTGACCAATCAGAAGCATACCGTGATCGCCGCTCCTGTAGCGTGCTGAATCCAGCGAATGACTGACTCCGGATGATGCCGTTGGGCCCTCCTGGTGAGTGTGTGCCCGCCGCCATGATCTCGGGGTTTCGAGATGACACCCCTATGGGACACAGACAAATAGAAACAAATGATCAGGCATGTTGCTAACAGAGCATTACAGAAACTCAAACTCCAAAAACAAAACCATGTCAACATAGAAGTTAACAGGAAGCACATTGAGCAATAGAAAGACAAAGTGGCTTCTGTGGATGATGTTTGACGTGTGCGATGTGGACGGGCTGCATTCAGAGCTTGTGCTAACACGCCATGCCACTTGGGAGCAAACACACTTCAACATCGCTCTACAGGGAAGGTGTCACGAGGCAGCTGTCATTTTCATGTGATTCTGTCCTGCACAAATAGTTTCCATATGAACCACCAAACAAGTCAGAATACACAGAGCAATATGTTCACATTTCACAACCATATCAAGGTGATATATATTGCCACAGTGGCAAAGCAATCGCCCACTTATCCTAAGATTTGTGGTTCAATTCCAGCTCAGCCCTGTGCATAGAATTGATGCATCCTTAGGCAAGATTTGAGCAACTTTTACCTGGCTTAAATGCCGGATCAAACTTTACTTTTAAAATGAAACAGCACATAACCAGCAATTATGTGTTTTAGAAGCAGCATGTCAATTGTTAAACTTATTGAGCTGAAAATATATAATTCAGCATGAGTCCTGACATGTGACACAGGAGTCAAGAGCCAGGCGAAAGTAGGTTGTAAACGTCCACGTGTGTCTGTCAAATTATGGCTGCAGGGAAGCGCCCAGAGGGACAAGCCGACTATTGTGATCAATCAATTACACATATGGCCAACTATAAAAGATAACATTGGTACTATTAGCTGACTTTGTTTTATACTCCACAAGCCTGCATAGTCTTGCAAATCATCATGCAACAGTGCTATGCAAGTCAAATGTAAAGACTCGTTGCCAATAAACCCATGCAACCGCTTCCAACTAACACAGTAACCTGAGTGTTGATACGTGCCAAGACAGAGGCCCTAGACATCAATTTAAAAATGCACAAAAGATGGATCATGTTGTAACAATTTCTTGGCTAACTTTTTGTGTTTTGGCATATCAACAAAACTCAAACCCAAACCAAAGTTCCCAGAATTGCTAGACTGAACTTCCTAGTGTTATGAAAAAGCTTTCAGATAAGAAATTAAATGATCTATTGCTGTTAATAACTAATGTAATTCTGTATATTTCAACAAATTCTGAAGCCTGATATATACAGAGATATTCTGCGATAAATGATAATATTGAAACTACTTTACGCCACCAACACAAAAACAATAAAGCAGAACAATCCCAGTTAACCATTTTTTAATAGAGGATATCATTAAAAGGCTTGGGCTGCAATATATAATGTACTATTACTGGTCAAGAAAGAACCATAGAAGTCACTTATTCAACCTTTTACAGCTCCCTTATAATCATATTATGAATACTGATAAATACTGAGCCCCAAAATATATTGTTATAGCTTTCATATATTGAATGACAAATCAATATAGTATTTATCATGACTGACCTAGTTTTCATAAAAATTCATTTCAGGACCAGTTCAACAACTAGGTTACAACTTCCTTCAAACAAAGTGTATTTTATGTGTGTTTTTTCCTCTAATGCATCCATCTTTCATGACATACTAACACACACCTCTGTTGACAGAAGAGCCAGTGCTGCAACTGATTGAACCAGCAACCTGATCAGACCCGATCGTGGTGCGACTGAAAGAGAGGGGACACATAAAGAGGCGGGACAGGGCGCAGTGAAAGACTAGAGGTTTGTTTTGTGATTGAGAGACAAAGGCCATGGACACTGATACTGCTTTAGGCTATTAATAGTCTGGTTTTAACACAGGAGACCCTCATGAGTGTGACAGAGTGGGTGAATCATATGCACCAATGAGCTGCCTGCACTGGAAATCATGGAGTGGCTTCATTTGTTATACAGTGCAAATGTTATTTTTGTGCAAGTGAAGCTATTAATTAACAAAGCCTTTTTAGATGATTGTTTAGGACTTTAAACACCAGAATAGATGTTGTATTTTTAGGTCTGCCCCATGAGTCTGAGTAATGAATCATAAGATCACAAGATACTTTACAAAGGATATATTCAGACTAGCACACAAACTATTCTTTGTCTTTACCAAAAGCTAAAACTAAATACAGCAGTTGATTTTACTGTAGAATTTGCGTGTCCAAACTTACTCAATGTAGAAATTAAAGATCTCCAAAAGACATATCCAAAATGTGTCTTTTTTAGAGTATCGGCTATTGGCCATAAACCTCCAATAGAGGCTGATATTTTGTTCGGGCCAACTAGCTGTCTAAATATGCCTGAAAAATGTATACATAAAGCTTTGATTGAACACTTAAGAAGATATTGCAAAAATAAGACCACACTGGACTCAACACAGTTTGTAGTAAAAGAATATTGTGGATGAGAATTTGGGAAAAAACCTAAATCAGCTCAACGGTATCACCAACAGCCATAAAAAAAACTCATACTGGTCGATCTCTAGTAGAAAGTTTAAGCTGGCTACCACTAACCAAGTAAGAGAGGACCTTGAGCATAGTATATTGGTGCCCTTCCATTGCACACACATGATGATGATGACCAACTCTTAAATCAACTGATAACTATTTGTTAATTTCAAGTGCACTGTCTGAACCCAAACCAGAGTGAAAAGTACATGAGGGTGGACAGAGGGTGTAATTTTGGCTTCAGTAACACACGTTTCAGAGCTGCCTCGTGAGAGTCTGAGTCACTGGACTAAAAGTGGAGCAGTGGGCGGCAGATGATAGCACATTGTTACCTAATGCCTGCAGGTAATTACAGAACAGCATGGACAGAGCAGGCTCCCCCTACCTGGAACTTAGATTTGGTCAAGATTATTAGAGATTGAGAATGCACAGAAAGCACAACATAATATAAAACCAGCTGTCTGTGTAATCCTTCAACCTTCCAGAGCCCTTTCAAAACTGAAGAAGCTACTTAAGATTCTTGGAATTAAGAAAAAGCGTTGACCATTTACAAAGAATGTGATCACAGTCACTTGAAAATTCTGTTATTTTTAATCATCAGTGACATGCTCAGATCATTTTAATCAAAAACTCTTTAGCCAGTCTTCTGTCAGCAAAAGCATGTTTTGTATGTGTTTTGTAGCAAAGTTCAGACTTTGAAGGAACAGATTAGTCTTATTTATGTTCATGTATTTAAAAATATTCACAGAAATTTTTATTTGACACAATAAAATCAAATGAAAAATGAAAATCATGATTAATCAATATCAGGGGGAACAATCTTCATTTATTTGTTATATCACCCAGACCCAGTGTTGGGAAGTAACTGAATACATGTACTGAGAATACATCTTCAGAATACTAATTCTGAGTTACTGTATTCCAGTAAGTTTACTCTTTCATTTGGTGTTATTCAGAATTCAGTTACTTTTCTAAAATCAAAGAAATCACACAATTTAAACTGCACAGTATCAAAGAGAAAAAAAAAAACAAAAAAACAAAAAAAAAACTGAGCTCTTATAATATGTGCATGTGTAGTTTATCCGCCTGCAATTAGTAATACGAAATGCATAAAAATGGTGAAACAAAATTAAAGATGTATTCAGAATATAGAACTCTGATTGGACCATGTATGTTATATATCTTACAAAATACATTTTACTGCAGGTATTCTGTAAATAAATACATTATCAAAGTATTCACATCCCCAGACCTAAGTCATACGCTAAAAGTTCAAGTTTCGGCACCCCTCCCAAATGTTGCTCCCAAGCTTTTCCCATCAGCACCAGCCAACTCCATTACCACCCTGCTCCCCATTTAAATCAATGCGTGGGACAAACACACACTCCTTCAGTCACAATACGCTTCCCCTGCTTTAGCAAACCTTCCTCTTAGCGTCGCCGTACATCTCGTCTAAAGAGCTTTTTCAGAGCGGGTACAACAATGCCCACTCGCACTGTGTCCTGGTGCCCTGCCATGCTTCACCCACACTCAATACAGCTGCCACTCAAGGCCCATTCAGCGCCGTTGCCGCTCTGGAGCTCACATGCTAATAGCCTTAAATACCCCGCGAGAGCCAATGCACGGCTGAATATGTGAGCGTGACATTGATCAGTATGGTAAGCAGCGCTAGGGAAAGAGCAGAGGATGACAAACACAGCAAGGTTAAGGGGAATTAGAGGGAGAGAGAAAAAAGAGGGAGGGGAAGAGGGTGAGAAACAGAGAGAAAGGCAGAGATAGAGGCAGACAGAGAGAGAGAAAAAGCAAAAGAGACAGAAACAAACAGAGGGGAAGGGGGGAAAACAGAAGGAGACAGTGAGGGAGGGCGAGAGAGAAAGAGAGAAAGAGAGAGCAAGAGAGGCGGGGGAGAGAGACAGAAAGACACACAAAGAGAGAGAGAGACAGAGAGAGATAAAGAGAGAGAAACAAACAGACGGAGAGAGAAACACAGAGGGAGGGGCAGGGAGGAGAGGAGAGAGAGACAGAGACATGCAGAAAGACAAAGAGAGAGAGAGAAAGGGAGAGAAAGAGAGAGAAAAAGAAAGCGATAAAAAACAGAGATAGAATGAAAGACGGAGGGAGGAAGGGAGGGAGGGGAGGAGAGAAAGAGACACAGAGACAGAGACGCAGAAAGACACACAAAGCCAGAGAGAGAGAAAGAGAAAGAGAGAGAAACAAAAACAGAGACAGAGAGAGAAAGATGGAGGGAGGGAGGAGAGAGAGAGACAGAGACTGAGAGACACAGAGAGAGAAGAGAGAGACAGAGAAGAGAGAGAGAGAGAGAGAGACAGAGAGAGACAGAGAGACAGAGAAAGGGGGCTCTGATGTAATATCCATTTGTGGTGTTAATGCATTAAGCAAACTACAGTGTGTGCTTAGTGGAGAGTCTACTTAAGAGAGTGAAGATAAAGGGGGGAAAGAACAAGTGGAAGAAGAGATCTGCTTAAAGACATTACAATCACATTTGACAAGTCAGATGCATTTGAGTGTTTTAGTGTTAGTTTTCAACACCTGTAG